TTTCTTTACTGTAACCTTCAGGTATCATTCCTAATAAAAATATTTCAGGTTTCAAATCTATATGTTGTTTAATCATTTTTTCCAACCACGTGTGTACTTTAGTCCAATATCTTTTAGCTTTCTATGCATGCCCACCACATATGGTAGTATGTTCCTGGTGCTTGATGACACTTCCAGAATTTAGTTGATTGATCTTTGAACATTTTACTGTATAAATTTGTATCGTAAAACAAGTAAGGTACACCAATGTCACACCTTGAAGCAGGACGCCCGATAGAGCAGCTGCACCACGTGGCCGATGCTGGTTTTGGACGCCTGGGGGAACCTGGGCTCCAGGCGCTGGACCACAAACAGCACCAGGACTTTGCGGGAGAGGGCCGAGCCATCCTCCAAGGCCAGCAGGACCAGTTTCAAGGCTTCCTCCTGCATAGCTGGGAGACCAAAGGGTGGCGTTACGGTGGGGGAAGCCGAACCAGAAGAAACGGGGTGGCCTCCTTTCTCTTCCTTGCCAGGAGGACTTTGAAATATCGAACAGAATGGAGCTGGAAGGGACCTTGGAGGTCTTCTAGTCCAACCCCATTGAAGCAGGAGACCCATACTATTTCAGACAAACGGCTGAAATAGTATATAGGGTCTCCTGCTTCAACAGGGGGTTGGATTAGAAGACCTCCAAGGTCCCTTCCAGCTCCATTCTGTTCGATATTTTGAAGTTCCAATCTCTCTCTCTCCAGTGATGGAGCACCCTCAACTTCTGGTGGCAAGCAGTTCCACTGGTTCATTGTCCTCACTGTTAGGAAGTTTCTCCTTAATTCTAGGCTGCTTCTCTCCATCGTTTCTTGCCTTGCCCTTCTGGTGCTTTGCAGAATAATCTCCTTTTGTGGAAGCCCCTCAAATACTGAAATACTGCTATCACGTTCTAATTCTTCTTTTCTCCAGGCTGGCCAAACCCAAATCCTGCAACTGTTCTTCATATGTTTTAGTCTGCAGCCCTCTAATCATCTTAGTTGCCCTTCTCTGCACTTTTTCCCCAAGCCTCAACATCTTTTTTGTAACGTGGTGACCAAAACTGGTTGCAGTATTCCAAGTGTGGCCTTACTCAGGCTTTATAACACGGTACTAACGCTTCACGTGATCTTGATTCTAGGCCTCCGTTTATACAACCCAGGGTTGTGTTAGCTTGTTTAGCTAACACCTCTCACCCCAACCCTCCTTTTCTCACAGCTGTTAAACTGAGAAAAGCCGCCTCTTCATCTTAAAGCTGAACAACAGCGAAAGAAGGCTGCCTTCTTTCTCCTCCTCCACACACCGCTCACCCGGCCCGAGGAACTGGCACCCCCTGGCCCGGACAGCGGCCCAGAGATTGGCCGAGAGTTGCTGCGGGTTCTGGTGCTGCAAGATCAGCTCGGTGACGGTCCTTTCCCCGAGGGAGCGAGCTGCCCGCATGGCCCTGATGCGGCCTTCTTCTTCCACCAGCTGGCAGTTCACCAGGGTCACCAGCTTCCGTTGCATCGGCCGGCTGAGCGTGCTCTGATTTAAGCTAGCCACACCTTTGAAGAACAACAGGACAGTTACGGACCAGTGTGAGGGGCAAGGAGTCCCTGCTTCTCCCTCAGAAATTGTCCTCAAAATACCGTATTTTTTGCAGTGTAAGATGCACTTTCCTGCCCCCCCCCCAAAAGGGGGTGAGAATGTCTGTGCGTCTTAGGGAGTGAATCTTGCCGTCCCCCACCCTTTGGCCGTTTTTGGCCTCCATGTGCCCCGTTTTTGGCCTCTGTACATCTAATTTTTGGCCCACTATTGGCCTCCCTGCAGAGGCCAAAATTGTTCCCCTCAAAAATGGGCTGAAAAATGGAGTGCATGGAGGCCAAAGATGGGCCAAAGAACGAGACATGCGAAGGTCAAAAAGGGGCAGAAAAACAGGATGCACACAGGCCAAAAATGGGGCGCGTGGAGGCCCAAAAAACAGGACACATGGAGATCAAAAACGGGGCAAAAAACAGGATGCATGGAGGGCAAAAATGCCCCCAAAAATGGGTTGTGGGGAGGCCAAAAACAGGCTGAAAAACAGAATGCCCAGAGGCCGAAAACAGGCAAAAAATGGGCTACGTAGAGGTTTAAAAAACGGGCCAAAAATGGGGGGGGGGCCCCGGGAGGCTGAAAATGGACCAAGAAACAGGATGCATAGAGGCCAATAATGGGCCAAAAATGGGGGTTACAGAAGCTGAAAACGGGCTGAAAAACTGGATGTGTGGAGGCCAAAAACAGGACACGCAGAGACCAAAAGCCAGAGTGCATCTTACAGAGTAAAAAATATTTTTTGAGCAGTGGCTCCCATGTTCAGGCCCCGATTCCGGCATCAGCTGAATGGGAGGAAGCCAGAGGGAGGCGCAGAGGGAACTTACCCTTACTTCCACTCAGTGGCTTTAGATACAGGGCCAGATCCTCCACGCATTTCTTCGCCACCTCGTAGTGCTTGTCTTCTCCAAGGTTGCTCAGCTGGAGAGCCTGGCGATCGGGCACCTAGAGGGGTCCCGAGGAGAAGCACTTATCAGCACACCTTCGTTTAAAAAAAGGGGGGGGCAGGAGGGAAAATGCGATTTGGGGAAGGATGCCCCATTTGTAGATTAGATGACAGGCTGTCCTCGACTTACAACAGTTCATTTAGGGACCGCTTGGAAAAAAAAAGTGGGACTTATGACCATTTTTCACACTTACTGTATGACCATTATGCCATCCTCCTGGTAACGTGATCAAAATCCAGACACTTGGCAACTGACTCACATTTGTGACGGTTGCAGGGTCCCAGTGTTCTGCATGCAAAGTCGAGGGGGAAGCCAAATCCACTTATCAGCCGTGTTACTAATTTGAGAACCGCAGGGACTCACTTAACAAAGGTGGCGAGAAAAGGCCGTAAAAGGGGGCAAAACTCACTGAACAAATTTCTCACATGCCAACATGAATTTGGGACTCAATTGTGGTTGTAAGTTCAGGACCAACTGCAGACACATTTAATGAGGATCTGTCCTCTGGATGGAACGTGAAGAGCATCCGGAAGCTCCCATGGGTGCAAAATGCAGTGGCTCACATGGTTTTATGCAGCCCCCGGTGTACACACGTGTCTTCTCTCCTGCGGGGGCTGCATTGGTTGCCGATATGCTTCCGGGTGCAATTCAAGGTACTGGTTGTCCCCTTTAAAGCCCTTCATGGTTTGGGGACTGGGTTATCTGAGGGACCGTCTCTTTCCGGTCCCATCTACCCGACCCACCAGAGCAGGGAGGCAAGGAATGTTGTGGGTCCCGTCCCCTAAGGAGGTATATTTGGTGGGACCCAGGAGAAGGGCTTCTCCGTGGTGGCTCTCTCCCTCTGGAACATCATCCCTCCAGAAATTAGACTGGCCCCCACTCTGACGCTCTTTGGAAGGCTCCGAAGACGTGGCTTGGCCAGCGGGCCTGAGGAACCCAGAGCGGGATGGAGCCCATTAAATGGCTGGTTTGAATGTGCATTGTAGTTGAGGGGAGGTTGTGTGCTGTGTGTGGGGAGTTATTATTTTATGTTTTATTAATTTTATTTCTTTTATGTGGTGTTTTTATATCCTTCAGTTGCCATGTGTGGCAATATAAACATTTTAAATAAATAAACATGCAATTATCTGGCCATTAAATCTGGATTCTCCTCAACATGGTTCAGGCAGGTTTGGCTTACCAAAGGCGGTATTGTTCGGGGCAGTGGTTAAGTTGCTGCCCCAGAAACCAGGAGGCTCTTGACTTCGAGTTCTGCCAGTCCTTCTCTCTCAGCCCAACTCACCTCACAGGGAGGTAATTGTTGGCAAACAGGAGGGAGGAGGAGGAGGAGGGTGAGATATGTTCACCCCGTTGAGTGACTTATACAGTAGTAAAAGCAGAATAAAAATCTAAAGAAGGAAATAAATGTTCCTTCTCTTCTCCTGTTTGATTGCCCGTTGCAGACTTCCTTTTGCAGCCTCTGCACCAAGTCAACTTCCGTGTGTGTGTGTGTGTCTGTGTCCGTGTTACCTCTCCCTTTACCTGGGCTCCCACTAACTGGAGCAGCGCAAAGTTGACAGGCAGCACGTCGATGTCAGTGTGGATGGCGGTCTGGTCGAAAGGGCAGGCCTTGCGGTGCAGCTTACTCAGGCAGCTCTGGCAGACGGTGTGGGAGCAGCCGAGGCTGATGGGCTTGTGCACGTTCTCGTCGAACTCATTGTAGCAGATGGGACAGGACAGGAACTCCGTCCACTGGGCGGCCTGCACGGGCATTGTGGAACGCAGAGCCCTCCTTTCAGCCGCTAGCACTCCATGTTGGCACTGTCGAAGGGTCGGGAGCTGGGAGAGAAACCAAAAAAAAAAAAAAAAAGACAGAAAAATTGGATAAGAAAAATATGGATTTAGTATTACACGTTGTCAGGATTCCAGCAATCGCCCTTATTAAATCATGATTCTCGAGCCAAACTTCAAAAAACTTCAAAGGATTCATTAGAGGTGGCATAGTGGACCTGCCCTGTATGAAGCCAACTTTGGCCTGCGTCATTTACAGTCCCCGGTGACCCTGTTTCCCCTCTCCCCCCTGGGTGTGTCATAAATCAGATTCTCCAATTGAGCACCTTCATGGGCCGGGTGTCATCAATCACATTCTCCAATTAAATATATTCATGGGCAAAAGCTCTTGTAGTTTAGTTACAATTGTTTAAAGATAAAAGTTGGAATGTATTTTCACTTCCAAACTGCTGCACTGCTCTTCCAGATTTCCTTCTTCCCTCCCCCTTTTTATGGCAACTATTAAAACAGGCATAGGAATGTTTTATGACACATGTCTTAACAGCAACGAGGACTATCTTCGTACAATATTGGAAAGATGAAGAAACACTGCGAGACGACAAGGTAATTGGGAAGATACTAGACTGTGCAGAAATGGGTAGACTGACATTGAAGATCAAACGGAAAGAAGACACAGAATATTATCAAACATGGAATCTATTTTATCAGTGGCTTGGAAAAAAAAGGGCTGGAGAGTAAGAATGGAACCTGCATTGTTAAGCAAATTAAATACCCAGACAACACGGTTTATCAAGCCCTAAGAAATGTAATTAATAAAAAAATTAATAAAATTTATTTTAAAAATATGTTTATGCACTGGCCTCCTTTGGGCTCAATTAGGACTGTAAGTCAAAGTCTGCCTATATTCTGGACGCATTTCACCAATCTACTTTGCCCATTGTTTACATCTTTTCTTTCAGTCACTCTGATAAATTCCACTTGCATTTATATGATTTTATAGGAAGCGTTATAAAACCATCCCCAGCATTTGGCATCAAAGGAAATACTGCTTCACAGCCGAAGGTTGGTTTCTGGCAGCTATTGCTAAGAGCTGCTGCAGACTGGGGAATTTGCTGGAGCAAAGATCTCTACTACAATTAGCCATGGTTAAAAGAACACCCATGCCCAGAGGCAGCGTTTCACCATCTACAAGCAAATAATAAGTGCTTTAACTTAACTCAGCCTTAAGCAACATTAAAAAAAGATGCAGGGAAAGTCTTCAAAAGTCTGCACAAGAACACAAAATCTTAACATTGAGAATAAGTTCATATAATCATTTTGTCCCTGTTGCCAGGTATTTTAAATCACTGGCTGGACTCACAAGTTGTACAAAGCCATGGAGTCTTTAACTGTGGTTTGTTCAATAAACCACAGCTAGTCCTAACAGGTCACCATTCCTAGTGGGAAAATGCATCGTCTAGGAATCGGACAAGTAAACAAAAACATTGCATGTGGCAATTTATGGTTTTGCGGCTTGGAGATACACTTTTGTCTGTAAGCTGCTGTTAGTGACAACTTCCAGGCTATATTAGTGTGGTATTAAGCGTAAGTGGGACCTAATTTTCAAAAGCAACATAAACCTGGTGCCCCGAAGGTGCTTCTTTCTGGTGCCATTCTCTTAGGACGGTTAACACTGACCCAGGGACCCCAGAGCACTGTTAGAGGCCCCCCCCACACCCACTTCACGATCTGTTTTGGTGCTCCCGCCTGGGAGGTTTTGAAGTATTTCTAGCAGAACTACCTGATTCTGTAACAGCTTTGTTCCCTAGGCCATCCATCTGGTAAACTCACAAGATTCATTTCTCTCACCATGAACATGCATACATTCAAACGAGATTGTGTTGTTTCTCCATGTCATATCATATATGTGCGTATATGCCTTTTGTATTTATTTATGTTTATGTAAAGTATATCGGAGGTGGAGACCCTCTGAGAGTTGTACGCAATAGAGTTTCATTTTTAATGTATATTGATCGTTGTACGTTCAAAGTGACAAAAATGTTATTCTATGCCAGTGGGCCTGGGGAACCCAGAGCAGGATGGAGCCCATTAAATGGCTTGTGTGATCTGCTGCCGCCGGGGCAGGTGAGTGATTTTATTATATTAAACTATATTGATTTATTTGATTCTTTTCATTCGTTTTATTGTTTTAAATGTGGTTTTATATTCTGTAAGCTGCCTCGAGTTGCCATGGGTGAATAGGCAGCAATATAAATTCAATAAATAAATAAATAAATAAAAAAGTCAAGTCAAGTCAAGTCAGTTAAGTCAAGTTAAGTTAAGTCAAGTTAAGTTAAGTTCTAAGAAGCCTCTTGCTCCATCAGAAACCATCCAGGGGAGATGGGAGGGCAAGAAAACCGTAGGGCGCTTTGCAACATTATTTTCTGCAGGAGCACCTATTGCAAATAATAATAATAATAATAATAATAATAATAATAATAATAATAATAATAATAATAATAATAATTCATTTTCCAGAACCTTCTCAACCTGATGTTCCCAGCAGTTGTTACTATACATCAGGTTCAGAAGGTTCTAGAGAATGAAAACGTCAAGATCTTGTGGGACTTCAGAATTCAGACTGACAGGCAATTAGCCCACAACACACCTGACATAACAATAGTTGAAAAGAAAAAAGGTTTGGTTCGCTAACATTGCAATACCTGGTGATGCACGAGTTGAAGACACTCAGCAAGAAAAAATCACAACGTATCAGGACTTACAAATTGAAGTTGAGCGACTTTGGAAAAAAGAAATTGTGTGTTATCCCAATTGTAATTGGAGCCCTTGGAGCAATACCTAAAGGGCTACCTCGCTATTTGGAAGTTCTGAATTTATCAAACTTGAATACCCTTGGAACAGCTTATATCCACCAACGCTACCTGAACAGTTCCTAGGTCCTTGGTTACGACTCGAGCTGTTGAGCTACCAATCAGCCCCAAAGGCTGTGAATCTC